GGGTTCCTGTTGAGTTTCTCAGGATCCACATAAGAGTGAAACCATATGGTATCTGTCTTTCTCTGTATGGCTTATTTCACTTAGCATCACACTCTCCAGTTCCATCCACGTTGCTACAAAAGGCCATATTTCATTTTTTCTCATTGCCACGTAGTATTCCATAGTGTATATAAACCACAATTTCTTTATCCATTCATCAGTTGATGGACATTTAGGCTCTTTCCATAATTTGGCTATTGTTGAGAGTGCTGCTATGAACATTGGGGTACAAGTGCCCCTATGCATCAGTACTCCTGTGTCCCTTGGATAAATTCCTAGCAGTGCTATATCCCAGTGTAGTTAACATAGTGTTATATTAGTTTCAGGTGTACAATATAGTGATTCGACACTTCCACACATCACCTGGTTCTCATCACAAGTGCACTCCTTAATCCCCATCATCTGTTTAACCCATCCCTCCCACCTCCCTCCCCTCTGGTAACCATCAGTTTGCTCTCTATAGTTAAGAATCTCTTTCTTGTGTGTGCTCTCTCTCTCTTCCCCTTTGCTCATTTGTTCTTTCTTAAACTCTGCATAAGTGAAATAATATAATATTTGCCTTTCCCTGACTGACCTATTTTGCTTAGCATTATATTTTCTAGCTCCATCTATGTCATTGCAAATGGCAACATTTCTTTCCTTTTTACAGCCGAATAATATTCCATTTATATATATGCATATATAAATATTTATTCCATTCCATATATATAATATACATATATAAATAGTCCATTCCATATATATAATATATATGCATATATAATGGAATATTCAATTTCACATATATAATGTATATGCATATATATAATGAAATATTATATTCCATTCCATATATATATATATATCTTCTTTATCCATTCATCAATCGATGGGCACTTGGATGCTTCTATATCTTGGCTATTGTAAATAATGCTGCTATAAACATAGAGGTACATGTATACCTCTGAATTAGTGTTTTTGTATTTTTGGGAATGTACCCAATAGTGCGATTACTGGATTGTACGGTAGTTCTATTTTTAACTTTTTGAGGAACTTCTATACTGTTTTCCACAGTGGATGAACCAGTTTGCATTCCTACCAGCAGTGCCAGAGGGTTCCTTTTTCTCCACATTCTCAACAACACCCGTTGTTTCTTGTGTTGTTGATTTTGGTAATTCTGACAGGTGTGAGGTGATATCTCCTTGTAGTTTTGATTTGCATTTCCCTGATTACGTGTGATGTTGAGCATCTTTTCATGTGTCTGTTGGCCATCTATATGTCTTATTTGGAGAAATGTCTGTTCATGTCTTCTGCCCATTTTTAAATGGATTATTTGTTTTTTGGGTGTTTAGTTGTATAAGTTTTTATATATTTTAACATACATTCCTGGTAAGAGCTCTCAATAAGTAGCAATTAAACGGGAATGGCCCCAGTATGGAAAAGGGTATCTACCAAAAACATATGCTAGCATCATACTTTAACGGTAACAGACTGAATGTTCCTCCCAAGACCAGAAACTAGACAAAGATATCTACCCTTACGCTTCTATTAAATAGTACCCTGGGATTTCTAGCCAATGGATGAAGTTAAGTAAAAGAAATAAAAGGCCAGACTGGAAAGGAAGAAGTAGTAAAACTGTCTTTATTTACAGATGACATGATTGTCTATACACAAAATCCAAGAGAATGTACAAAAATGCTATTATAACCAATAGGTGAGTTTAACAAGGTTGCAAGATACGGTAGCATTATGCAGTGTCAATTGTATTTACATATGCCAAAATGAATAATCAGAAATTAAAATGTAAGAAAAGATGCCATTTATAACAGCATCAAAAGATATGAAATACTAAGAAATGACTGGAGATAACTGAACTGATATCTTTACAAAAGTCTGAAATACTTGGGCATAAATCATGTGTACACATAATGACAAAATTTCAGAACCATAAAAATGAAGGATCCTGTAAATTTCCACAGGGACTAAACAGATCACCTATAAAGGACTGAGAATCTGACTGGCATTAGACTTCTCAACAGCCAGGGAGCCTGGGTGGCTCAGTCGGTTAAGTGTCCGACTCTTGGTTTCCGCTCAGGTCATGCTTTTGCGGTTTGTGAGTTTGAGCCCCGCGTTGGGCTCTGTGCTGACAGCATGGAGCCTGCTTGGGATTCTGTCTCACTCTCTCTCTGCCCTACCCCTCCTCACATCTCTCTTTCTCTCTCTCTCTCAAGAATAAACAAACATTAAAAAAAATATTTCTCAACAGCCAAAACATACCTGAGACAAGAGGAAAAGAGGAAGGGTGATGCCATTAAATTCTCATCCAACACAGCAGGAAGTTGATAGGCACTGTTTAAAGATCATGGGGGAGGGTAAGGGGAAAAAAAGTTACAGAGAGGGAGGGAGGGAGGCAAACCATAAGAGACTCTTAAATACTGAGAACAAAGTGAGAGTTGATGGGGGGTGGGGAGGAGAGGGGAAAGTGAGTGATGGGCATTGAGGAGGGCACCTGTTGGGATGAGCACTGGGTGTTGTATGGAAACAAATTTGACAATAAATTATATTTAATTAAAAAATAAAGGTGTTAAATGACCAAACAAAAGTAGGAACATATTACATAGAAACATGGAGCTTACCACCAGAAGGCCTACAAATAGAATGGATTTAAATTGGCTGCCTCTGTGTAGGACTAGAAGGGGAGAAAGATGGGGCAAATGCAATAATTTAAAAGCCATTTTGTATTATTTATTTTTATTTTAGAGAGAGAGAGAGCATGAGCAGGGGAAAGGGGCAGAGGGAGAGAGAGAGAATCTTAAGGAGGCTCCACGCTCAGCACCGCGCCCGATGCAGGGCTTGGTCCCATGACCCTGGGATCATGACCTGAGCTGAAGTCAAGAGTCAGATGCACAACTGACTGAACCACCCGGGCACTCCTGTATTACTTATTTTAAAAAACTATATGCATGATTTCAAAATGTTTAAAAAATACAATGGGTACATGTTAACATCTGAGCCCAAAGCAAGGTAAGTAGACTCTAAGGTAACATGGAAGCACTTTTCAAAATATGGCGATGACATCCTATGTCACTGCCAGATGCCAGTTGTTTTCTTCTTAAAATAGACATCTATTCCACTGAATAGATTTCCCATTCCCTCCTACTGTCTCCCTCCCCCCACTTTATGCTCCCTGTGAAAAACAGCATTTGCTGGGTGTGACTCTGATGGAATAGTTCTTCTATGTGAGGCCCACAGGTCTAGGACCAAGAAAAACCCAGAAGATAATCTGATCTGGATACATGGAGCAATGATCTCACACCAATAAAAGCATGCAGGCACCCAAAGGTCTGTACAGTTAATAAATTCATTTGAAGGTGATGTATTCAATCAATGCCATTCTAAGGGGATATAGGACAAGGCATGTGTTTTGGAGGAAGAGGCAACTTAGCCTCAGAATAACTAGGAAAATTACTAGGACATATCTTTCACTCTCTCCTAGACTAAGATATTCTACTTCACTGGGATATTCTAATCCATTGGCCATACCAATATTTTCCTGAATGGGGGATAGTGGTGATTCCCAACATGCTTTAGGCAGTATAGCACTGGACCTCATTTCAGTTCTCTCTCAATTCTATTTATATCAAGGATAAAATCTTAATTTGGTACCATTATGTATTTAACACCATTTGCTCTTTGTAATAGTCATTAAATCTCCCCTTGAAACAAGACCTAGCAGACCACAGGTGCAGAGTATATCCCTACTACATAATTCTTGCGTTTGTATTTATGTTCCTGGTTACTATCTATTTTGTATATGACAAGTGAAACATCTGTGGTCATGATGAAGGTTAAATGTATCCTTTTAAATAAATTTATTTACAATCACAGAATAGGTGATTTAAGAAGAATATTAAGGAAAAAAATAGCACAAGGGGGAAAGTTATTATGGCAAGATTTGTCAAGGTGGTTTCCAAAACACTGACATTTGGGGTCACTGGTCTAACCAAAGCTCTGTCCTGGTTTAACTTCTTTATATGTCTCCTTGCAGGACAGTGGAACACAAAGAATGGCTTCATTTAGGCTGGATACCAGCAGCATTTTCTGGGTGAGAAACTCTGAATTTGTGCATGCTTTTTAATAATCTCCCAATTAAATGCAACTGTTGTGAGATATATCCCAATTTGAAGTGCACAATAAAATCCAGAATACAGCCTTGGGAGTCGTGGGCCCATAGTTTCTGAAACATAGATGGCAGGTAAACTGCTGAGTTGGTTTTTTTTTCCTTCCCAATTATACCTTAAAAAAAAAAAAAACCAACCTCCCACATATAATTGCACTCACCATCCCTATATGTATGTTCCCTTGAACTTCAAGCCCTCAACCTAAATAAGTATGTGGAAGAAAAGTTGCACATCAAAGCTAGGCTGCTGCAATGGGTTTCAATAGCAGTTACTATTCCCTTCTCACATGAGCCTCTTCTATAGCTGTGAGTGGCAGGTGGTGACAAGGTCAGCAAAGAAAACTCAACTCCAAACCTCACACGGATACGATTATTTGGAAAAGTAACCAGTGTACCATGGGCTCAGGATGATAATCACAGCATGCTTACAAGGAAATTTGGGGAAAAGAAGAGCAAGATTGAGAAAAAGAAATCTAGGTCAAAAGCAATGATGACAAAAAGATACCATCAACAAATTTAAATGACAGGCCAGGTCTGAAAGACTGCAATGTATCTAGCAGGTACAAGAATACAAACAGTGGGTGTATGTGTGTATATATATGTGTATATATATATATATATATGTATATACGTGTATATATATATAAACATATGTATATGTACATATGTATATGCATATGTATATATGTATATGTACATATACATATATATGTATATATGTATATGCACACACACACATATATATACTGTGTATGTATATGTCCATATATACATATACTCACACAAACACACAAAACTACAAATCCATAAGGCAAATAACTCAATAGAATAAGCAAATCATAGGGAGGAAATGCCAATAGCCAATAAACATATAACAAGCAGCTTAATCTCATTCGTAATAACAGAAATGTACATTAAAATTAAAAAACCCACCATTTTGCACCCATTGAAGTGGCAGACATTTTAATGTCTGATAATTTTGGTGAGGATGCTGAGAAACTCAAACCCTCATACCTTGCTGGTTGGAATGTAAGTTGATGCCCCCAGTTTGGAGAACAATTCGGACCTATCTGTTAAACCGTAAAATATGCATGTTGTGTGGCCCAGCAATCACACTTGTAAGTATGAACATAGAGGAGCACTCTTGTGCGCAAGAAGTCACACACTAAAGAGGCATTTTTAGTAGTGGAAAATTGGAAAAACAATTAAATGCGCCTGTCTAAGATAAAAGCTAAGTGACTACACAGCACAGGCACACCACGAAATATCATGAAGCAATAAAAACAAATAAAGTAGATCTATATGGATTAACGTGGAAAGATCTCCAAGAAATGCTAATTTGTAAAAAAAAAAAAAAAAGGCAAGTTGCAGAAAGATACACAGAATATTATACCGATGCAGGCGGGGGGAAAAATACTTTTAAAAACAATCCTGTCTAGTCGTTTAATACTATTGACTTGCAGGTACTGTGTAAGAGTATGTGAGACATTTCCAAGGAGGCAGAGGAAACTGAGCACGGTTGCTGGATGGGGGTTGGGGACACTAAGGGAGAGGATGGCAAAAAGGAGCCTGGATTGATGGTCGGGATCCAAGAAGACTTTAACTTGTCTATAATCTTATAGTTTTCCCCAGAAGTTGATATTTATGTGTTACTTGAGTAATTTAGATAACACAAAAACAAAAGTTTAAAAGAATAACAGTCATGCCCTAAGAAGCCCAACAGTACAGAGAGTGCCTTTTATCCTACTGAAATGCAGGAGAATAAGTGTCTGAAATTCATCATGTGGAAGGCCTTCCCTGTGGAGTTCCCCTCCCTCTGGAAGGGAGTCCTCTCTGTGACCTTCAGAGCTCTGGGCACCTGGGCCACATCTCCCTCACTCAATGTGACAAAGGTTGAGGCCTTACTAACAAGACTCAAAGCCCATCTTTGAGGAAACGCAAAATAAAGACACGCATCCGGTGCAAGAGAATCCTTCTATGCTCTTTTATTAAGTTGTTATATCCACATACAGCACTTCAGCCGCCAAAATCAAGTCCCCTAATGTGGTTTCCTTGCAATAATATTGTAAAACAATAGAAAATGGCAATAACTCCACCATCTCCTAAGGTGGAGGTTTCCAATCTGCAGTGCTTTTCTCAGGAACTACACTTGGTCACATGCAGAGCTATTAGAAAGCAGAGCCTCTTCCTAAGTGTCTTGAAATTCATGTCCTTTTTAATTGCCCGGAATTCATGTCACTCGTGCAAAGAAGCTATAAACATACACAATCATAAAAACGCATTTAGACACCCAGAACAAAATCAATGCCATATTATTTTAGTTTATTATTCCTTGTAGAGTTCACACTGGTCTTCCTACTTTGATATTTATTTATACCAAAGAAGCGAAAGAACATAAATGCCACACTTGGGATAACGCTAATGCTAGAATTGAGTAGAATACATACAGCTTCTGCCTTAATTTAAAAAACTAAAGCAGTCTTTATGAATCAACCTCACATAATACAGGACAAAACTGAAGGTCACTGTATTATTCATTTAAAAAGGCACTGATAAAGATTAAAATGAAGGTTCATGAGATTTGAAGAAATGTTAGTTTGCATAAATGGCTTCTTCCTTCTTAACGGGGCATGAAGGGGTGGAGGGAATGATAAATAGTATAAGAAAGAATATACTTTCCCTGCCCCCCTGGGCTTTGTTATTCTTCTCTCTTCGGAACCTCTAAGCTCTTTATTTAAGAGGTCCTCTGCTATTCACAACTTTTGCTGCTCTTATGAAAAATTAATGATTGCTTTCTCTTCAACAGAAAACTGCCTTATTTTGCAGAAGATTAACAAAGAGGACTTAGTGCAGAAGTGAGTCCCTCAGCAGGAGAAGCTTCTCTCACACGAACCCATTTATGGCCGGGGGGGGGGGGGGAATACCCCCTGTTAGTTCAAGGATAGCGAGTAAATAGATGGTGTGCCGCCTGACACCGACTGCAGAACAATGACTACATCCTTCACAAAAAGGACGTGCCAACCAAAACAGCCTGCACCCAACAGCAGGCTGACCCCACGCCCTGCCCACTGACTTCTTTATGCAGCACACAGAGTGCCACGCTGTGTTTGCAAAGCTATTGTGTGGCAGGCGGATTTTCTGCTAGGGGGTTAACAGGTGAGAGCAGTTATCCTATATGCAACAGCGAGAAGAAAAATAGAGAGGACGCTTTTAGTTAAGCTGCCAATGCTCAGAAAACACTTCTGAAAACATTACAGGTTTGCATCATTCTTGAATGGAGATGGTGAGCTTGTCTCAGAATGATTTACCCAGGTAAGGAGAGAGTATAGACTGCAAACATAAAGTAATTCGAGTTCATATCCTGTCCTGTGTACACATCAATCTTCATTTTAATATCCCGTGATTGTCATCAAAGGAATTTCTGGTGAAATTTCACTTTGACCATTTAAAAGTCCTACATTTTTATATCACTTTACATGTTAATTTCACTCCATCTGTAACGATAGCAATATCCTTTATAATTGAAGAAACTGAAGTGTAGGGAGGTTATGTCAATTATTGGTCAGTTAGTGGGGGGCCAGGACTCAAACTCAGCTCTGGTCACTCCTCACCTAGTGCTCTATGGTAAGCTGGTGGACGAGAGTCCACATGACTAACCAGGCATCCAGCCACCCAGGGACTGTGGGCAGAACACAGGGTTCACCAAGCTGATTCTAAATACATGTCAATGAGTGGGTTCAACTGATACACAACTTGGCATCTATATTGCCTTGGCTTTCATGGAGCTTACAGACTAGTGGGGGAGGGAGAAGTGAACAAATATCTACACCAGACAATTGTACAATTACGCTTGTGAAGGGCCACACTTCTGGGGATGTGGTTCAAGGTTATATCTTTTGTGTTTTGGTTTTTAAATTATTGATTGTACGTGTCTGGAGTAGACAAGCACTGAGCTTGGGGGGCTGAAAGGGTGTCATAGAGAATCTACGGAAGAGTTCTGGGTTAATCAGTGCTGTCAGCATTTTTTGTATTTGTAGACTTTCTGATATCACTAATGGCACATCACATGACAATTAGAGGATTTCTCTAATTAGCTGCTCTTCAGCTTGAATACAATTTTCAGAGAGCACTAAATCTACAACGTGTTTCCTCATTTATAAGAACCTTGAAAGATCTGAGAAACAGTGACAGCAGGCATCTGTAGTGTGCCTTCCCTGTTCCACCCACTGCTCTGGGACCTTCTGATGTGTGATGACGTTTATCCTTCACACCAGTCCCATGACTGGTACTATTATTACCCCGTTTTACAGATGAGGAAACTGAGAAACAAAGAATGAAAGTAGCTTGCCTAAGGTTACTGGGATTCAAAGCTGGTGGACTGCCTCCAATCTGCTACAATTTCTGTCTAAAAGGAGACGTTATGTAAAATAATTTTTAAATGTCTGAAACAATTTGCAGCATAATTATAGATAGCAGATCCAATAACTAGAAAAAAGGAGCTCTGAATAAACACTTTCCAAGAGTATACAATAAAAGGCAAAATCAATTCTCACCATAAAATCTATTACAAGGATTTTACCACTGTCAACATTTTATTATTAGATATCAAAAAAATCATTACCACAACAACACAACATTCACAACAACATAAAAATGAACTCTGTTTCTTAAGGAAAATGCTATAAATATGCACAGGATAACATTTTTCTCCCCAACATGGCACTCAGCTAATAAATCACCAAGTCATACACATCAGTTTTTGTCTCTTTTCGTAGAACTTTACACGTGAAGACTTGGTAAGACCTGTAATCAGTTCAAGAAGAGAAACCTGTTAGAAGCCACCAGTAGAGTCTAAGACTTAATTAAAACTTTTGGATGACAGACGAAATCATAAAAAGGATAAAAGACAGGTTATAAATGAGGAGTAAATACTTGCAACATCTCTGCTAAACAAAAAATGAATCGAAGTTATAAAGAACTCCTATAAACCAATGAGATAAACAACTCAATAGAAAAAAGCATAAATGATATATTCAAGAATTTCACAGGAAAGGAAATCTGAGTGGCCAATAAACACGGAAGGATGTAAAACCTCACTAGCAATTAGGGGAACACATTTTGAAACCACAATAAGCTACCTACTTTAGACGGGCAAAATTTTTAAGTTGGCCAATATCAGAAGGCTGGTTTAAGTGTAGGAAAAGAAAGGCTGTTATACACTACTAGTGGGATTATAAATGGTACAATTTGGAGGTGTTGTAGTAGTACACAGTAAAAGGGAAAATGAGCAAATTCTGTGATCTTAGAGTTGTCTGTCCCAGAGAAACACTCACACAGGTGCACTAGAGGTATGGTTACTGCAGTATTATTTGAAATAAAGTGGACATAACTTAAACATCCATCAGCAAGGAAACGGATAACTAAACTGTGGTATGTTCACAGGGTATCACAGTTAGGGACGCTAATCTAGATTTAAATGTAACAAAAATGCACAAAGCTCAAAAACCATAATAAGTGAAAAAAGCTGCTGGACAAGATATAGTGTGATATTGTTGATATAAATGTTAAAAACTCCACACAAAAAATATGTTATTTCCAAGAATTTGCATATATATATACATATATATGTATACACATAAAGTTAGTTGATCCTTGAACAATATAGGGGTTAGGGATGCCAAACCCCAGAGTCAAAAATCCACATAGAACTTTTCACTCCCCCCAGACCTTAACTGCTAATAGCCTGCTGTTGACCAGAAGCCTTCTCAGTGACATAAATAGCCAATTAACACTTATTTTGTATGTTATGTGTATCATTATATGCATATGTCATATATACTGTATTCTTACAATAAAGAAAGCTATGGAAATGTTATTAAGAAGGTCATAAGGAAAATACATTTATAGTACTGTACTGTATTTATTTTTTAAAAATTGTGTATAAGTGGATCCATGCAGTTTCCAGACTGTGTTGTTCAAGGCTCAACTGTGTACACACACACACACACACACACACACACACACACGTGTATGTACACACATATGTATACTATATATGTATATATATGTAAGACTATATAAATTACTGGAAAGATATACACCAAGTTCAGATTAGTTTCACTTTTGGGGAGTAAGGTAAGAGGACTGTGGTTGGAGGGACATGTGAAGGGAGATTTAACTCAATAAGGTGTTTTTTCTTTTTTCTAAAGGGAGAAACTCTTATTACTTATACAATTTAAAAAATAGTATATACATTAAAAAAAAGACTGAATCAAATATGTCAGTAATTAACTCCAGATGGTGGATATATGTGTTCTCTCTTCTCCTTTTTTTTTTTTTTTTTTTTTTAAAGTTCAGGGGCACCTGGGTGGCTCAGTCGGTTAAGCGTCTGACCTCAGCTCAGGTCATGATCTTGCGGTTCGTGGGTTTGAGCCCCATGTTGGGTTCTGTGCTGACAGCTCAGAGCCTGGAGCCTGCTTCAGATTCTATGTCTCCTCTCTCTCTGCCTCTCCCCTGCTCATGCTCTCTCTCTTTCAAAAATAAATAAACATTAAAAAATAAATTTAAAAAGTTCATTTTCTCAATTTTCCAAAATAAAAAATATATCATTTAAACTCAATAGAAATGTAACTTGTAATTTTCAGTGCAACCTGCAGTGTCACACCTCTTGCCATTAGCTTTTCTTTATTTTTATCTTACAAACTTGGGCTCTTCAATCTGGACAAATTAGGATCAGAACACTTTCATCTTCCATTTTTTTTTCAACAGAAAGGAAAATAATGTGTTTGGTGTTTTTTTTTTTGTTTGTTTGTTTTTTTGTTTTGTTTTTATTTTTTTTTGCTTGTTTGAGAGAGTTTTAAGATCAGAGAGGCATATGTCTCACAAGTAATGGAAGACACTGCTTGGAAAACGAACTCATGGGTTGCAGCATCTTTTGGAATCCCACAAAGATGTTGCACCTTTGGATTTAGATAACAATTGCAACAAGGAGTTAAATAGCTCTTTGTCATTCTGCCAGTCAAAACTAAGATGCACTATTGTATAGATGTTTACAGCTGAGCTGTCCAGTATAGTAATGACATGTTCTTATTTAAATTTAAGTTAATTAAAAGTAAATAAAATAAAAAATTCAGTTCCTCAGTAACACTGGCCGCATTCCAAATGCTCAATAGCCACAGGTGGCTAGAGGGTACCATACTGGACCGCTCTGGGTTCCAGAGACAAACTCCTTGGATCCTGGTCCCAACTCCAC